TGGAATGGTATAGCCGAACCCACCCCCATATCCCAGATCACTAAAATAGAAAACCAGAATGATATAGCTATTAACGTCTTAGGACACAAAGGCAACACAACGGTCGTGCACAGGGTCAGCCCAATGTTGGGGGAACCCCACCGAGTGATCAATATATTCATGATCCAGCGAGGTGATAAGTATCACTACGCGTGGTTAAAACACCTCAGCAGGCTGTTGCACAACCAGTCGAAACATGTTGGGAAAAAACACTTTTGCGTACGATGCCTGCACGGTTTCAGCCGACCCACCCTGCTGGAATCCCACCGGGTGGAATGCCAAGGTGTGGGGCAGATGGCCATATGAGTCGACAAGCCCAAGGAAGGCGACAATATCCTAAAATTCGACAACCACAAGAACCAGATGCCCGTGCCTTACATCATCTACGCCAACTTCGAAGCCGTGGTTAAACCCGTTGACGCTGCCGCCGGCCCGGAGGTACCCCAGGGGGCACACAAAAAAACACAGGAGCACGAGGCCTGTGGGTTTGGATACGTGGTCGTCTGGTGTGATGGGGAAACGAAAGCTCCCGTAGTGTACAGGGGACCCCACGCAGCTGAAAAGTTTCTAAAATGTTTGCAGGGGGAAGAGAAAACTATCAGGAATGCACTGTACACAGTCGCTCTCATGCGTATGGCTTAAGCCGACCGGATAGCTCATGGCTGCAGCACTCACTGTCATGTGTGTGATAAACCGCTGAACGGCGATTCGGTGAGCGATCACTGCCATGTCACCGGTAAGTATAGAGGCGCCGCTCACAACGCGTGCAACCTCAAGCTTAGAATCAACCCCAAGACAATAAACATCCCTGTGGTCTTCCACAACTTGAGAGGGTACGACTCTCACTTGATCATGCAGGCCATCGCGAGGATCGACGGCAACCTGACGTGCATCTCCAACAACATGGACAGATACATCTCCTTCAGCTTGAATGGCCTGAGGTTCATCGAATCAGTTCAGTTCCTCCTGTCGTCACTCGACAGTCTGGTCAATGCCAACGATACCTTCCCTATTACCGATCGATACACTAACGTCGAGACTCGACCCCTGCTGATGAGGAAGGGCGTGTACTCGCACGCGATTAACGTATGGAATAAACTGGGCTGTAAGAATCTGAGGTGACTACCACAACCTGTACTTGAGAACAGACGTACTCCTGCTAGCCGACGTGTTCGAGACGTTTAGGAGGACGTGTTTCAAGCAGTATCAACTCGACCCCGCATGGTACTACACCAGCCCAGGTCTCTCTTGGGATGCCTTGCTGAAGAAAACCGGAGTTAAGCTGGAATTGCTCACCGACACGGAACCTGTATTGGCTGGGCCATGAGCCAGTATCTACCCACAGGGGGATTCGAATGGGCCATCACTCACATCCGAGATCGATGCTATGAGCATCGCTACCGGATTCGAACAAAGGCTATATCCTCGGAGTGGACTTGGAATACCCGGTGGACTTGGCTACCCTGCACACATCGCACAACAGCTACCCCCTGGCCCCCGAACGTTCGAGGGTTAACCTGGACTGGATGTCCAAGTACCAACATAACTTGCTGGGTGGGCGGGTGGCAGACGTTGAAAAACTCGTGCCTAACTTAATGAATCAGACCAAGTACATCGTGCACTATCGCAACCTACAGCTGTACCTGTCGTTGGGTAGGAGGCTGACCAAAATACACAGGGTGCTCGTGTTCGACCAGATCCCCTGGATGGAGCCCTACATCAGAATGAACACGGACCTGCAAAAGTTGGCACCAGTGACTTTGAGAAAAACCTCTACAAGCTCATGAACAACTCGGTGTTCGGTAAGACGATGGAGAACCTGAGGAAACGCGTGACCGTGAAGCTAGTCCGGTTAAAAGAGGAAGACAAGCTCAGGAAACTGATAGCCAGCACGGCATTCAACCGGCCTGTTTACGTGGGGATGAGCATCCTCGATTTATCCAAACACCTGATGTACGACTTTTACTACAACGAACTGAAGAAACAGTACGGCGACAGGTGCGAAGTACTGTACACGGACACGGATTCCCTGCTGATGGAGATTCGAACCGAGGACGTGTACGAGGACATGAAAAAACGCCATGATTTTTACGACACCAGTGACTACCCCAAGGACCATGCCATGCACAGCACAGCACAGCACGGTTAACAAAAAGGTCCTCGGTAAGATGAACGACGAGTGTGCCAGCACGCCCATAGCTGAGTACATAGGCTTGAGACCCAAGATGTACTCCATCCTGAAGGCCGACAATGGTGAGATCCGAAAGGCGAAAGGGGTCAAGAAGCACGTGATTAAACAAGACATCAAACTCGCCAGATTCAAGGAAGCCCTGTTCAAGACCCACACCTTCAGGCATCAAATGAACACGCTTAGAAGCGACGCGCACAGGATATACGGACTGACGATAAACAAGACGTCCCTGTCGCCGATGGACATGAAGCGTTGGATAGCCATCGACGGGATCAACACGTACACGTACAGGCATGAGAAAATTGAACCAAAAACATAGGTGTATATATAAATACCCTGTCGGGGCGACAACGATGTCACGGAACCAAAGGAAGTTTGAGGCTATTTACTACAGCCCGCGTGGGTACTGGAAAGGAGCTAGCGCTATATAAGCTGGCCAAAATGGCGCGAGTATCCCCGGATGAGGCCATAGCGTGGCTTGAAAAACAAGTCCATGTGGCAGATCTATTTACCGGCACCACGCTACGTGCCTAAAAGGAAGTTAGGCATTACCGTACCCAATAACGCCCACCAGGCCGAGCTCCTGTTCCTACACCACGACAGGAGGTACAAGTATGCCCTAACCGTCGTTGACGTTGCCAGCAGCTACAAGGAAGCCGAGCCCTTGACCGTGAAGGATGCGGCACAAGTAGCCCGCGGATTTGACTGCATATACAAACGCAGTCCGCTGACATGGCCCACAGAGCTGCAAGTCGACCCCGCGCGGGAGTTCATGGGTGCCGAGTCACAACTGCTAGCCAAACACGATACCAAGGTCAGGCGTGGCACTGCCGGGGCTCATCGCAGCCAAGCCATAGTCGAGAGATTCAATCGGACTTTGGCCGAGCGTTTATTCGGGCATCAGTATGCGAGAGAGATGGCCAGCCCGGGAAAACGATCAACGAAATGGGTAGCGCGGCTACCTCAAGTGGTGTCGGCTATCAACCACGAAACCACCCATCTCACCTGCAAGAAATCAACCGACGCTATCAAACTGAAATCAGTGGTGCCTGAGTCGGCTGCACCATCGCGTGGGAAGGAGAAACAGATACCCCATAGGGCCCTCGTGAGGTACCTCTACCAGCCGGGGGAACACGAAGGGGACACTCGGAAACGAGCCATCGATCCGATATGGTCAGTCAAAACTTACAACATAGATAAAGTGGACATCAAAGCTGATGAGCCGAACTTGTACTACTTGAGAGATGGGCCAGGGAGAGGTTTCGTTAGAGAGGAATTATTAGTCATATAATATATTTAACACTTACCTTGTCGGGTAATCCAAATAGTATCCTGTAATGACATAGTGTCACGTGATCAGGAAAGTGCTCGTTCGCGGTCATAGTGACACAATAGTGTCACGTGTGGCCGGGAAGTTAACTAGGGATTCAAAAGTAGTATATACGATGGTGGCGAGATCTAAGGGCCTGACCAAAGCTTTATGAAAGAAAGCTTTACAGCGACCTTTCTTGAAAGTGATCTCGGACTATCATTGTATATACTACTCGCTCCACAAGACTGTTAGACAAGAGGGGTGATCTTCGGCCACCCATGCTTGTCGTAAGAGGCGACTAACGGGATCGGGTGGTAGGGCTCCCTGTCTGGGTTCACACATGTCATCGTATCAACTGTATATAGATTATATTTCGATGTTCATGCTGTTGATCACTGGTTCGTCTGGTCCAGACTTAATTATTTCCCGACCACCGATAGCTGGAATATTGCTGTGTAACCCATGCTTGTCTTAAGAGGCGTCTAACGGGACCAGGTGGTCAGGCTCAAAGACTTGGTTGACACATGTCATCGGTTCTCAATTACGCAGATCGATGCTCATGCTGTTGATCACTGGATTGTCTGGTCCAGACTCGATTATTAACAGACCGCCGCCATATAGCTGGAATAATGCTGAGTGCGGCGTTAAACTTAACTCACTCACTCACTCCTGCTGATCACGTTTTGGGTTTTACATTATAACAATATTTCAAGGAGGGTTGTACGAGGCTGGCTAATAAGTTGTTTCTCGGATTACAACATTCAGCGGATCATTAAGAATTTAAGCTTCGTGTGGAGGCAGTTTCCAACTTTCACACTTCAGTGACCAAAATACGTCCGATGCGTACCCTCCTTTTGACTTGTACCATATGAAAAACGTGAACAAGTGCCTGGCCGAAGTACGTACGGGTACCTTATGTTCACCTATTCACAAACACTTCATATTATGACCGTTTGACAAACTAAGTGATTCATAGACACATGCGTCTGGTTTTGCTGTATTCGTATAATCGACTTTGCTTTTGAGATTCCTGATGGATATTGACAGGGTTTTGAAAGTACCTAGCTTACTGCGTAAAACTACAATTTTACATGCAGCTGTCAATAATATATTTTTCTTCCACGTTAACCATAACTTACCCCATAAGTATCAGTTACAGGTGGTAACATGTAGCAACTGTGATCATGCTTGTACAGTTAATGTCAGGTGCCCTTTCCTTCCTTCCTTGATTGGTTAGGGATGATGTTGGAAAACTGATCGTTTTAAGTTGAAAGACAGTTTTGAATAATCCTACCGTAAATCTCTACTTCACACAGATTCAAGTGTGAGGGATCAGTGATGGTGAGGTATCTCCTTATTCCATCACAGACCACGTCGTAGATGCCGTTGCCAGTGACTGAAGTGTTGTCGGGGAAGGAGTAGCAGGGGACACTGGGTGTGGTGCTGGTGTTACTTAAGTAGATAACAGCTGTGCGAATTCTGGTGAGATCTGAAATAAATATCAATTCAAATACATGCTTATCTCATTTAATTGTAAATGTGATAAAGTTAAAAGCCGGAATTATACATGGACAGAACATCGCTGACATTGCGCCAGTACATATTCGTGTCTTGGTCGGACTAATCAGTGGTTGAAATTATGGGTAATGTCCCACGCCGTCTTGGAGTGAGTGAGTGAGTTACGATTTTAAAGTCATATCGGCAGTATTTAAGCCATATAGAGAGTAAATAAGTTATAGATTTATAATAAATGAAATTAAATTATAAAACCTGTCAACGAAGGACAGTAAAACAACTAGATTATCACAGATATAAATTTAAAACTAGTATGTAAATTTAAAACTTTTAACTATAGATGACAAGACAATATATCCTGACGCTTTATGTATCATGTAGCATGTAGCTGTCATAAATAAATCATTATTCAAAAACGTAACACCACCATCTTGGAACGATGGCACCAATCATGTGCCTTAGTCCGATGATCCGATCACTAAATGTAATTCCAGTAATAGTTACTGGAGTTATTCTAGTCATGATCACCATATGGGAAACCTGACTTGTAACGCAATGAGTAATCATAATATCATGAAAGAAGAGAGTAACATTGTTATGTCATTGCATAATATTCTTACAATTCTGCTGATGATATATCCTGACATCATGTATCCTGTAGCTGTCACCCAGGTCCACTTTCCACTCACTCGGAACGTTGTCAACAGTGTTGAAACAGGAGCGCCCTAATACATCCTGGTTGTGGTTCCCATCTACAGCTTTGTCTGCAGATGAGTAATCTGTCCATAGTCCTGTAGGGGAGGAGGCGTGTCTTTCATAGGCGACATTTTCTGGTATTAGGAAAAATGACAGGATATAACACCCGCAGTATCATACAGACACTTGCCGTATAGTTGCTTTAAAATACATTCTTAGAAAAACATCATCCCGACACAATTTTTCACTCATTTTCCAGTACAGACATTCCATTCTAAGAGAAAACATATTCACTGAATACACTGCAACACACATAAAACATAACGGTTGTGTACTGTTCAGGACGCCAGGTTTACCTGTTACAGCTTGTTCTGAAGTCATGCTATAACTCTACTTTCAGGAGGGGCGGTGGGGCAGCCCAGTGGTTAAAGTGTTCGCTCGTCATGCCGAAGAACCAGGTTCGATTCTCCTCATGGGTACAATGTTTGAAGCCCATTTCTGGTGTCCCTTCCGTAATATTGCTGGAATATTGCTGAAACCAAACCCACCAAGTCACTCACTCTACTTTCAGGTGGGGCAGGAAGCGCGTCTTCCATAGGCCACGTTTTCTATTTGATCCCAGAGTAATGCCCCGATTAAACTGTTGAGTTTAAACTGTCATGGACATGTCGACAAATCTGGATGAATTATGAACTCTCGACAAACTGCTGACCAACTTGTATACCTGGATTGCTGTCACTCACTCACTCACTCACCCCAAATCGCTTCCTTATTCATGCATTCACCAAATCTCGCATTATTTTGTTGTTAAGCCCTCACCTTTTAACAGTTTGCTCGTTTTCCCTCCCACCCAGCCGCTGTCACAGTCACCTCCACAAACTCCAGTTGTCTGGTTACAGGAGTGTCCACAGTGACAGGAGTAGACACACAAATCCCCGAACTTGCCCGGTGAGCAGGAACCTGAGGATATATTCGAACAGTTGAACATGGGCACAGAAACAGGGTGGGGTGCAGTGGGGCGGGGGCTGTCGAGGCGAGTGAGTTGAGTAAGTTGAGTCAAGGTGAGTTGAGTTGGGAATCTGTAAACTTCATAATGTCCATGAAAACACTCAATATGAGGTGAGGTGAGTTGAGGTGTCAGCGTAACAGCAAGTGCCATTTTGTATTGTCTTTCCGTATGACGCGGCTTGATCAAACCTACGACCTTCCCCTCCCCCGACAGATGTTTCAGCTCCCACACCACGGAGACGGTTTTGTCAATGAGTTGACATCAATAAATATAGTCTCATACTCATTTTGGTATTGGGAATCCGTAAAGCTGCACAACGACCATGTCCAAATGTAATGTACCGTGACTCACTAGATATTGTTATCCACAACGATCTTACTTGAAGATCAAAATGACTGTTGGTCGGCATGAATAATACAATGATTGGACAATCATCAACTGTTATATTATCATTACATTACATCCATCATATTCGAACTAACCCGTGAAGAACTAACCCCTCGTAAGAGGCGACATTGGTATTATTCTGAATATATGACGTGTACGTTATTTTCTCATATACAGGACATGCATATATCACATATCAACATCTCCATGTACAAACTTACTCTCCTTGACGCAAGCCATTATCTGTACAGTGACAGTCTTGGGTGAAACGCTGTGTTGGGTGGCAACAGTGATGCCCAATACAGACACGCCATTACGATAACGGACACAAAAAACAACAACTGTACATGAAATAATGATGTGTTACTCACCAAGTATAAGCTGTATCCAGCAAGTCGACGTGATTACGGAGACAGTTAATATCCACACACCCGCCATGTTGGGCAACCAGTAAATTATTTCCACTTGGCTGTATAGCTCACACAAACTACTTCCCGGGTACATCTCATACTGTTCACCGTCAATATACACACTGCAGCCAATAGGCGGTGTTTGCTTACATACAGAGTAAATATCTGGAATGCATGTTTGTCTTTGTCCTGTGTTATGTGACTAAACTTCATGTGATGGTCCAGAGGAATGCAGCTGTCAAAACATTTCACAAATTGAAACGTATTAAAACATAACGTGCACACGTTTATGGCCAAGTATAATTGTTTGATTGCATGTATTGTTGGGTGCCCCATTTACGATCAATCGCCTATTATTATTATAAATTGTGAAATGTCTACCTTTTCTTGGTGTATGAAAGGACGCATCCATGATCACTGGGGTACAATATTCGCATAAAATAGGGCATGTACAATACCCTGTCTTCTGGTGAACTTAGGGAGCAAACATTTTCTCCACTATGTCATTGTACTAATGATTCGGAGAACTCATAACAATAACATTGATGACAGTGAAGCACACGACCTTTGTTTTACAGTATTTGTGTGGAGTCATTGCGGAATCTCGTGGTAAATGTTACTGGGACACGGATGGAGGACATGGATGGAGAGCCTTGAAGCATATGTTGCCTACTCCATCTAAAATGACAGCTATACTTCCTTAATAGCGTGTGGATGAACAGCATCCATGCGTAAGTAATCAGAAACAGCTAAAAAATAACTCCTAGTCATTGGTGAGTACGTATCTTATAAAACTCATTATGCCATCTCATAGAATGTCGAAAAACCGAACATACGTCCCTGTGTCCTGTTTGTGTCATACGTAAATGCATGAAATGGTGATACTTAATGTTGCCCCTGCCTAATGCTTCGCCAATAAGAGGATAAATCAGGTGTAGTTGCGCCGGAATTGGTATTATGTGTATTAGAGGATAAAAAATCCATATTTAACCGTGTCTTGCTTTTTCAGTGGCCCGACCGTATAAATCTGCAAAATACGTGCGGACAATGGCAACCAGCCACACAGCCTATTGCAGCATGAATACCATTTGAGTGAACACGAGGCCAAACCAGTTTTCATCTCGCCATTGTGGACGTCTGTGAACAGGGATCAGTGTTTATCTCATACTATTAGGCTGTCCACAAGGGGCGGGCTATGCCATTACAAAGGTCCTACTGACATCGTACCGCCTCTGTGGTGTAGTGGTTAGAGCGTCCGCCCGGAGAGCGGAAGGTCGCGGGTTCGATCCCCGACAGCGTCATACAAAAGACGTTAAAATATGATATTTGTTGGTCCATGCCTGGCGCTCGGCATTAATGGGTACATCAAGGACTGGTCGGCTTGGAGTCAGTATAATGTGTCTGAGTGGGGTATTCATGCTTCACTGCGGCATGGTATCTCAGTGGGCTAGCACTATAAAACCAGCTTCAGTGTGGGCTATATCCAGTACAAGCAGCCGCACATACACATACACTCCTTACTCAAATTAGGTAGAAATGCTCTAGGTATCAGTGTTGCCTAAAGCGTGTTTAATCATTATAACTGAATAAGAAATATGTAAAAGAACTTCAAGCATTGAATTAGTAAAATGTATGGAGATTGTTTGCTCATGATTCAAGTTTTGACACAGGTAAATCGCAGTGATATCATCATATAGTGCATCATAGCAATACTTAAGGCTGTAAAGTGTATGCATTGTAGTGCGCGTGATAATCGTTTTCCAACAGAGAAAATTCTGTAGGGCATGTTTGTGCCTCTCACACACAAGTCGGGTAAACCCTGTTTGTGACAGACTAGTTTTACAGCCTGTACCACGGTTGACGCATTAGTAAAAACCTTAATGTTGACACTTCATGTTTTGTCAGTTATGTGACCTTCCCTTGATTTCTAGTAATCAAACAGACAATGATGATTTTAGAATTCAAACATAATGTGTTGCAATATCCACATTTGTCAGACAAGCATTTAAAAAACATTATCATAGGAATCGGTCAATGTAGCCCTATTCGGAAAATTTCAATTCAATAAATGCTTATTATAGATTTCACTTTATTTTTCCACCCAACTTCCATGAAAAACAAAGGTTGTATTTTGGCACCGTTGACAAGTAAAACGTTTGCTCTACCTCCACGTGTAGTGTACAGCATTATAGTTTATTGCACTACACATGGGGGAAGAGCAAACTATGTTGAACCAGACCTTTATGTGGGACGTAAGTTTGAACAAGATGGACAAGGAAGGTACACAGTTCTCGAATGAACAAACACTGGGACAGAGAGAAAGATATAGAGACATAATTCTTAAACTTTCAGTTTATTCATCTTATTCATCGTATTATCATCAGTCATATTTGACAACCAGTTTTTCAAACAGTTTCGTGTTTGCTTTCGACTTCTCTTCACCGGCGTCAGGTATCTTTGTCATTACAATAGACAAAAGTGGTCCTATTGACATCAAGCAAAGATCAGATGATCACCTCATGCAAGACAAAGTGTAATTTTGAACGGACGTATGAATGTAAATCCTGTGCAGTAGTACTGGTAAGTAACTCAGGGCCAGTTGTAAACGTATCTGGTTATCAGTGTAAAAACAGCACGTGACGCACAATTGTAAAAACAAAAACGCAAATAAACGATTCCTGATTAATCTATTAAATTACTATTAAATAGTGATGGTATTAGGATTAGCAAACGGATGAGCGTGTAAAATAAGGCACAGTCAGCTGAATGAAAACAACACGGGAACAGAATTATTGTATTAGGCAAAATCGGGAATGGACACCATATTGGTCACTGTAGTTTTAAATTTGGTAAGGTCTTCTTCATTCTCATAATCCCATGCACAGTTGTCGAGCACTGAAAGAGTTGTAACAGTCATGGCAACAACACCAGGTCTTATTCACTGTTCAGTGTGTGTGTGAGTGAGTGAATATTATTTTGTTATCTGTCATATTATTTTCCGTACCTTTACATGCATCAACTGTCTACAAAAGCTCAGAAAAAATAGACAGCAACGGGAAGTATAAAGCGTAATGCAATTATGTTGATTGCACGGTAAGGTGCTATATGTTGTGGCCACAAAATCCTGATAAAACCAAAGTTCAATAAATGAATTTATCTCAGAAGTAAAAGACAAGTTTTAAGTGGACACATATTGAGTAAAGTTGTTAGAGACACTGTCTTCGAATTATGAACAACACAAATAAATAACATGTCTATTCAGCAGTTAAGCTTGTGATAAATCACAGTCTGCCCACGTCTTATACATGCAACTTCCTTATGTGAAATGTTATCAATATATCAACATAATATATACACAATATTCAAACACAAAATGAATACAAATATGCATGATACGACTGAAATCGTGATCTCATCTAGCATAATATTGTATTGTATGACGTTAACATATGTCATTATGGAAAATGTTTACAGATGAAAGCATTTTACGTTTTATCATCAGGAAAAGTTACTCAGCTTGAACATAAATCATGACCTTTCTAAACTTAGATGCATATGCATGTAACACCAAGAACATACAATTATCAGTTATATTCTAAAAATAAACTAGATTTGTAAAATGAAAAAAGGCTACTGCAAAACAATTAAAGTAGTAATGCACAATAGAGTTTCAGTGTAAAATGCAATGGCCGTACAATGCCAATCAATTTATAGAAATACGAGATCTTCAAACTAGTTGTCATCTCTCAGCTGAAATTAACCCCTTATCAGCTATATCAAACGTCACAGATTAAGCGAGAGTCACTGAAGTGAATTATGCGGTTGTATCAGTAGCAATATTCAATCTCACATTGATAATATTCATATTTTAATGCGATCTCAATATTGCTTTGTGTTATCTTACCTCCTACCCGTTTTACGTGAGACGTTTCATACATAATTTTCACAATTAATCACAATTCGTAAGACCAACCAATTCCACACGTGCAACTCGTACAGCCACGGTGTGTCCAATATTATGAGACAAATCATCAGAGTTGGTCTTTCGATTTCATGTGACTGTGCCAAATGTGGTTCTATTACAGTGAGTGAGTGTGTGAGTTAATATTTAACATCACATCGGCAATATCTCAGCCATATCGTGACGAAAACAATATTTACAATAAAAGTGAAAACATTTTGAAGATTAAAACCTGTCGACGATGGACAGTAAAAATACTAGAAAAATCACAGATATGAATATAAAACTAGCGAGCAAAGCTAAAACATTCCAATTAAATAAGACAATACAATATAAAACACGGGCTATAGATCGCCAACAACTAAAGGTAGATCACCAAACAAGGAACCATGGGGACTTACATTACTTTTGCTACCTGCATGGACTCTAGTTGGATTTACACCATCCCTTCAGCCAAGGGCGATGGTAGGGAGGTTTAGCCAAAATTTAAATTCACAAAAATACTACGATTAAAAAGTATGGTTGAGCAAAATTGACTTGGAAAGTTTTAGGGACTTTACCCTCCTTAGGAGGACAATAAATTTAATCTACTTCAACCCCTTTGAGGATACAGCCACTAACAATAATCTAAGTTGATAATCTGAACAACCAATTATAAAACTTTATCTATTTACAAACCATATTAATCAAAATTCATTTAACAAATCTATCTATTTTCAAAAATCAATGATTAAATGATAATTAACTTTATTAAAATGGTCCTTTACTGTTTTGACATTGAAATATTTATCCCTTTATGATGGAGAATTTCAACACAGTCAAGCAGGACATGCTTGACCGTGGTTCTCTCATCACAAGGGGATACAAAACGGAGGATCCTCACCTTCACTAGGTATGCATGAGTATATCTGGTGTGGCCAATACGACATCGTCGTATGATGACTCTTCAAATCTGGACTGACAACCCAAGTTAGTGTAACCAATGTAGGGTTTTATTTCATGTAATTTATTAATACCTACTTGGGTGTCCCACTTCTTTTGCATCAGATCACGGATTTAGGTTCTAATGCTAGCTTTATAATCAGAGCATGGAATTAGAAGTGGTGTCACAGATTTATTGAGTGCTGCCTTGGCAGCAAGATCAGCCATTGTGTTCCCGGAAATGCCAACGTAGCTGGGTAACCAACAAAAAAAGACGATGTCGCATTGGCCAGTAGAAAGCTCATTATATAATTCAATAATTTCTATTAAAAGTGGATGTTTACAAGAAAGATTTTAATAGCCTGAAGACAAGAAAGAGAATAGGAATAGATTATGTATTGTTTATATTTACGGTGTTTATTAATATATTTAAGAGCTGTTAATATAGCGTTAGCTTCTGCTGTGAAAATAGAGCTGTTATTTGGTAATCGAGAAGATATTGTTCTGATCCAATGACAATGGCAAATGCCACCGCGCCACCATCCTTGGACCCATCTGTAAATAAGGATTTGTATGTATTACATTTCAGTTTTAATTGATTATATTCTTGTTTATATTGTAATTCATTAGTTTCAGATTTCTTAAACTTTGTCAGAGTTAGGGTCAACTTCAGGCCCTCACCTAGTTGCCAAGGAGGAGAAGAAAGAAGACGAGAAGGAGATATATTTTCCAGCTCAATGCCTGCAGACGAAATGAATGGTTTAAGTTTTAGCCCAAGAGGCGGAACAAGTGAAGGCTTCTTGTTGAATAAATCTCATAAAGATCCTCATAAAGAGGATTGGAAAAATACAGTTAAATACAGGATAAGACTCGTCAGAATAGAGTGTTGTTACATAGTGTAAAGATAATTTGATACGACGTTGGGTAAGGGATTGGCTCATCAGCCTCAACATAGAGACTATCAATCGGAGAGGTTCTTAAAAGACCCAAGACAAATGATTACACAATGCCATTTAGAAAGTGGTCAAATGTAACATGTGTTGGCATTTGGGATTACACTTTCTTAGTAAAGTACAAATTCTAGTACTTTTTTGAGTTGAGCCCCATCCGGGATTCGAACTCACACCCTCAGAGTCAGGCACCCACTCGCCAGCACACAAAGTCAGCCGCCTAACCCACTCAGCTACCGCGACTTCCCACAAGACAAAGTCTTTACACCTCGGTGGTGGACAGAATCAAGTAGTTTTAGGTTGCTTTTTACAGGCTCCACCATATACGATGGAGCCATCATCAAGTTTCAGCGACCAATAATCGATATAGGTGGAGGAGGGTAGCTTGATCCCCTCCCAACTTTTGAGTTGGAAACAACTTTCAACAAATCAAGGAGCCTCGTAGGCATTTAGCTTTAAGGATTGAATATGCAACAAAAGGTCAAATGAGAGTCAAAAATTAGACCCAAGAACTTGGTCTCCTCGACAACTTTGATTGGAGTGCCATTTAAAAAGAGATAGTTCCGGGTCTTTTATGGCGAAACTATATTTTCTACAAAGAAGTGTAGACAATTAGTTTTAGGGCTTAAATTTAAAAGCCGTTTTCTGGACACCATTTTATTTATCTTTTATTTAAACATAACTGCACTTGCTGTTCAATAGTATGCATATTTTACCACGACAAGAGCCATTAAAATCATCCAGCCAAAAGTGATCCATCGATTGAATCCGTTTAAAACCTTAGGATAAACTGTTGATCTTGATACTTCAAATAAAGTGACAGACAAAATACCGCCTTTGAGGGACACCCCTGATCCTGATTATAATGGCTGTGAGAAGGTTGAACCCACTCAGACTTGAAATTCGTCTTGTCTTTTTAAAAACCGTGGATTGGTTTTGTGTGGCTGCTCTGCCCCTTATTATAAGTCATGTAAATCCTTCAAAATGCCATGCTTTCAAGGTCGTATCATAAGCTTTCTCAAGATCAAAGAGAAAATTGATACAGCATGTTGTTTATTTTACTATAGCACTCTTAACAAAAGGGATTATAAGCGTACCAAATGATCAATGGTACAACGATTTACTGACATATACACACTCCATAGATAATAATGAGATATCCCATTGATCTGATATTTAGGTAGTGGACTAAAACACTATGTCCAATGAGAATGTGATGAATCACAACTGTGAGACTCCTCTCCCTAAAAAGCCTTAGTCCACTCAGACACCCACAACCCATTCTCCGTGAAACACATCTTATTAATTGTGCTTTGCTATATAGTACAAATGCATAAGTAAGATGTACTACATTTTCATTTCCTTCATAAAACATAA